TTGTTATGTAGCTGGCTGTTGGGGCAGAGGCAAGTGGCAGGTTGGCATGCTTGTTGGCCCAGGCTAGCTCGACGGCCAATGGGGGGGTTGTTTGCCACAGCCTTTGCCTACAGCTACAACAAACAAATATTTATTTACCATGCCAATGTAAAAGAAAAGATGAAAAAAAGGTAGAAGGCCTGTCCGGGTCAGGTGGAGCCCTCCCACCCCTTCTAAGCACAGATGTACTCAGCCTTGAACTTCACTGTGGCTCCAGTCGTCAGCGCGCGAAGTTCCCTTTAAGTGATTAGTCAGTCACCCTCGTCAGTCCGTCATTTCGTCATTGTACACCCACTTCCCCTCTACGTCGCACGATGGCAACACCCACACCAACCTGAAAATCTTAGAAATCCATGAAAAATAATATGACTCTACTCAACGGAATTTCATTATTATATGGATACATTTATTATAACAAGCGACAAAGAGAAAATTCTAATACATAATATGTTTCTTATACTAACTCTTCTACTATCAAACAATTGCAAATCTTTATTACTATTATTATGTTTAACTAACTACCCTAGGTGTTTTAATTCTAATAGCTACTGCTTTACTACCGCCTTATTAACGAACTACTATTCTTCTTTTGTATCCTATTGTATACTATTATTCCGCCCTTATTACTTCTATTATTCTTGTCTTCTTTTTTTTATTTATTTTTTTTTCAAGCCTATTTCCTAATTTTATTTTATTTTTATCTACATGTGCATTTACATATATATCTAGCAAATGTATTTTTGTATATACATTCCCCGTCACATATATGTAATCTATGTGCACATACGCACAAACGCACGTTCCAAAAGAATAACCCTTTTTTCCTAATGTCTATATGTATGTACATGTATGTTTATGTGAATAATAGCAAAATAGTGATTTTTCACTTACCAGTGTGTGTATGTATGTATATATGTCCAACGATGCTAGCGCCAGCCTGCAGACTACCTGGAAAGTGTGGGGGAGAAAAAAACAAACATACATGTACTGGAAATGAGAGCAAATTAAAAGAAACAGGTGGTATCGTGGATTACTGAAGTGGGTACCTGTGCGTACTTATTTACTCTCCCTTTCAGTTTAGCATTTTTAACCGTCGCGGAATCAACATATCGTTTGTGCGTGTAACTGCGGCGCGGGTGGATTAAAACTTTAAGTGCTTATACAAGAACATACAAAAGAAGTCGACAATTCTATATGTATATAATTTCATATGAAAATACTACGTTATCAATTAAAAGAAGTGCGTAAATGAACAAAAAATAATAATAAAATTCACTAAGAAACGAAAAATTTACTG